CTGGGGAACAGAGGTGTAACAGCAGTGAGGTGTTTCCCTCAGATGACCAGCATGTCAGCCACGTATGCTACCTCTCCACTCTGGAGAGACGGGGTTGCAAATGGACGACCCCAACAATTGTACTTCCCGACCTAACCTACGGTGATCCGTAACCGGCGGTAAGTTTACTAATACGGAACCAATTCCAGAAACAAGTTCATACAGGCCGTGTGTGACCGGCCTCAAGCAGTTGTCCCCTGAGCTATGCAATCACGCAACACTAACCCTCTTTCTCTTTCAGGTACCCGAAGAATCAACCAACTTCCACGATGTGGGCAGCCGGGAAATAACAACCATTCACACACTTCCAAGAGCACACAAAGCCTCCTCGAGCATCATTCTCCTTTACCCAGATCACCGTCATCATCTCACTCCCCCACTTCAGTTAGTACTATTCTGCAAGCTAATGAGTTATCTTCCCTTCACTCTGTGACCACGGACAACGGTGAGAGCTTTAGAAACACCCCAGATAGCCTTTTAGAGCCACGTTACAAACTTCATATAGGAGCATTTAACGTCGGGACCATCTGCCAAATCGGACAACAGCCATCACTAGCAAGAACTCTGGCAATTCGAGCCATGGATGTATGTTGCGCTTCCGAGACACACATACAAGACCCGAGTGTGGTCATTCATCTAACCTCACCCGGTCAACAAGGTGAATCTGCAAAATTCACTTTAAGGGTATCAGGAGACCCCTCAGCTCGCTCGCGAGGACTCGCAGGCGTAGGGATAGCGCCGAGTATTAGGGCGGAAAAATCACTTCTCGACTGGATCCTAGTAGATAGTCATTTGTGTGCTGTCTGTCTGAATGGGTCCGTTAAAAGAAGGAAAGACGACACCACCCGTCACTGCCTCTTCGTAGTCTCCACTTACGCCGCAACAGACTGCAGTTTGGATGAACTAAAGGATGACTTCTATCTGAAACTGTGTAATTTGCTTCAAAAAAAATGAAACGTTCAGATATAGTTGTTTTAGCAGGCGACTTCAATGCCCAAGTAGGAAAGTTGTGCCGGACTGAGAAGTATATAGGTGGTACGTATGGAGTTCGCTGCCGACGAATGCCAGAACACTCAGATGACACACACGAAACAACATCGATGCCTTTCAATTGCGCGTCTCCGAGCTAGAGCGAAATGTCTACTCAAAAGCTCATGCAGTCGAAAACTTAGATCAAGAACTACGCCATTCCTTCGAAGAACACGTACAACAAGTCACTCAGAAAGAATGCAACAAGACTAAGGCAGATCTGCTCAAAAGCCTAAAGCCTACAATTAATACCGAATCTCCATTCCCAAGCAATCCAGAAAAGTACGTATTCAATCTCTCAAGCATCACACTGCCTACTACTCAACTACAGGCACTATCTCTAGGTCCAAAATTCTGTGTAAAACCACGTATCGACAAGCAACAATGCACGACTGTTGTCACAAGTTTATAAATACGAATCCCAATGGAAGGTCCATTTTGACGAAGAGGTACTAGAAGGAGCTGAAAGAACTTTTGAAAAACGAAGAGATTATGATATTACATCCTGTTAAAGGTGGAAGAATAGTAATCATGAATCGCAAGGACTATATCAGTAAAATGCTGACTACACTATCCGATGAATGCAAATTCATAAAACCGATCAACGAGAAAAACATGACTGAACAGATCGGTCAAAAGCTAATGGACACCCTCCGTAAGCTAAAAACTGAATCTTCCATCACCGAGGAAACGTTCGAATCCCTAAGACAATCTGGCTCAAATATACCACGACTTTACGGACTCCCGAAAGTACACAAGAAGGGTCTCCCTCTTTGACCGATCCTCGACATAACCAATTCGCCTTATCACCGCACAGCCCAGTGGTTAGCATACCTGCTAGAACCAATCAGAACACAAGTTTCCTGCCACACAGTTCGAGATTCTTTCGACTCTATCGATACAACCGAAAACCTAACATACGTTTTATGTTATAACATACAGTCGTTTAACAACTGCCACCCCGCGATTCACGCTGGAGAAAGAGTCCCACTCAAAAATATCCTTTCTTGACGTCCAACTAAGAAGACGAGAACAGGATGGAACACTGAAAAGATCTATCTACAGAAAGTCGACGTGGAACGGACAGTTTACTAACTTTCACAGTTGGGTACCTGTATACACCAAACGAAACCTGATCCGTTCACTCAGCTACAGAGTTCGCAGAATTTGTACCCCTGACACCATAGAAGATGAACTGGACAATCTCAAGAGAATCCTCGCCGAGAATTGTTATATAGAACAATTTATTGCTAAATCTATGACTCCTAGACCGAAGAAGCCGCCGACGCTTAGCGTCCCCAAAAAACGACTCTAACATGAACCTTCAATTCAACTGAGATATATCTGCGGAAACACTGACAAATCGAGTGTCGCGCTCACTTAAGAAAAACTTTTTCGCAGCTGAACTACGATTAACCTTCTCCACAAAACCTATGATTCGTGTAAACGTGAAGGATAAGCTACCACTGCTGACTGGCCTCATCAATGTGTATTTACCAATTTACCTGCTCGTGTGGAGCCAGGTATGTCGGCCGTACCCAGCGTTCGCTTTCCAAACGTATCACGGAACACTTACCAACATGGTTTTACAAAAGAGAAAAACGATGCCCCGACAGCTCTATCTTAGAACATCTGATAGATTCCAGACACCAAGCTACACCCCAAACAAACTTCAAAGTCGTCAACAGAATATGAAGAAGTCTTTCTAAAAGTGTACGAATTAGACTTCTTCAAACTACAGAAGCAATGGCGAATCACTTGCTAAGTCCTGAACTCTGCATACAGAAGAAGGTCGTTCAATCACTACACTTACAATGGACGTAATCTATCTTATTACCCGACAGGTAAATTCTACCTAATCCTTTTCTCTTCTGTCTCTTCATTAGTATTATTTTGTCTTCTCAATTGTAATATTTTATATTTTCAACCTTCTTGTTCTCTAACCCCACCCGATTTAACTTCTGTACCTCATTACCACTGTTACTGACTTGACCAACGCTCAATTTCTAGTCATGTATGTTACGTCATCCAACTTATTTGCTCAATTTCAGTTCTAATTTAAATGGCATTATTCTCTACCCCACTTCTACTTAGTCTCTACCTGTAATTACCTCTGTTGCTGCCCTGACTTAAGTTGAAACATTTTAGTCAATTATATTACGTCATGTAAGTTACTGACTCAATCTTACTCTAGTTGCTGTCTAACTAACCTTGTTTCTATATTAGATAATTCTTGCATTACCTGATTAAATATCTACACTTGACAAAACTTCATGTACACATACACACAAATAATTAAATATAAATGCGATTGAACAGCTACGTGAATGAATTCGTTGAAAAGAGTCTCTTCACTGAACGTTTTCTCTTTTTCATATTATTATTATTGTTGTGTGTCGAGGTCAGTCAGTGGATCATTGAAAATTTAGCATCAGTTATAATAAGTGTTTTATTCTATATAGTTTCACGCAATTCCTTGTAATCCGCATCTATAATCCCTAGAGGGAGGATAGATGAAGTTAAAAACCTAATTGAGTTATTTAATAGAAATTCATTGGCCGATGTTTCTTTTTCATATGCGATTGATCTGCTGACTGACTAATTGACTGTATTTTCAACGTAGAATTATGCACAATCATGTTAGCAGTTCAAATTGTCAAACTGTATAAAAGCGCAAATAATGGTGATAAAATTGAGGAAAGAAATGCACATGTACTATCATAAATAGAAGTTTACGAGCGAAAAAAGAAAATAATTGCATGAAATATAATGAGAATTTAGTGGATCTGGGAGTTTATAAAGCGTGAATACTCACTCCTGCACCACTGAGAACAATTTTGTGCTACTTCACCAATTGTCTCAAACCATTGGTTCTGAGCGTCTCTATTCCTTCAGCCAGGTAGTCTACACCTTTTGACGTGGGTGGATCGAATCAAAAGTTAAAGGAACTTGATTTAATCACCCCTGATTCTTTTCAAATCCAATCTTATATTAGCCAGTATTTCTCAACGAGGAAGACTATGGCTTGCCATGCATAACACGTGTCTTAGTCGCCTCAATCGATGTGGCTTCATAACTAGATCTATTGACTTACCCTCATTACTTAACACTACAACTGGTCTCACTACTACCCATCGCACTATGCCACATAACACTGTAGATAGACTGCAGACATCTATGATAAGAGACTGCTAACCTCTCTATATCTTTAATTTTCGACGGCCTCACCAAACAGTTGCAAATAAGGACGCAGTGGACGATCACTATTAGATGTCATGGATGCGAATCCATGAGCACTGTAGTCGTAGTTAGTTGACTAGTGTATCCTATTAACGATATATATGATAATTCACCAGTCTGTTTGTTGTGCTTATTATGTGAGGTGTTTTGATAGTATGTAGTTATCGAAACTGGGATCTAAGAAGCACGACCTGTATCCTTGATGCTTGAGGTTATGATGGTACACCTCCACCTCAGTTGATTATGTGGATAACCCGAATTCTACAAGGCATCATCACGCTTTGTATTTGTTGTCATAATTTCAAGACAATTAAATCATATTTTTACGAACGCATATATATTTTTTCTTGTTGTAATTTGGTTGGCGGTGGCTAGTAGTGGAATGAATTTGAATTCGTTCATCGACCAACTGCCCCCTCACCTCAGTGAATTATGTTATCTCTTGGGACTGTAGGTCTGCTCTATCGTATTGCATGGCCCTGTGTTGTTGGATGGACAAGAGTAGCTGAATTTTCTCTGAGCTACTCCTTTTTGTAGCTATGTGAATGAGTCTCTTTGCGAAACGTCTTTTCGCTTTTATATGACTCAATGGGAATTTTGAAGGTATTCACAATATTAACAACAAAAGCAGAACATGAACTCTAATAATAACAGCAGAAAACAATTAAATAACATAAACCAACAGAATTTACACGAAATGACAATCTTTCCATTGACAACGGAAACCTTCCTGTAAAATTACAGGATTTGATAAGAATGTGTCTGTTGATCGTTGACGATAAGCTGGTTTTTGATAACTGGGTCCAGAGCAGACAAAACTCCATGTTTCATGATGAGATTTAAGTAGTTTATTGGTATTAACTATACAATCTTCAAAAAATGCATGTAACAATGCATGACGTAATAATTGCAGATGATCTTGAAGAGTATTCATTTGACAATCATTCCATAAACAAATATGCGTTGCATATTTTATATGACATCTCATTAAATGAACATGAAGACGAGTATAATTAGGGAACAACTGATTGCAATCACCCCATTTACATTTAATGAATAATTCATCATCTGGAAGAAATAATAAGAATAATTAAAGTCAACTCACAATCTCGAGTTGCTCAAATAATTTGTTCTAGAATAAAAATTCTCTCAACGGTTAATTTGTACGGATTCGATTTACCTCAAGTAGGATGTGTATTAGAGAAACAGTGAAAATCAAGGAGTGCCAGATAGCTGTTTCGTCCTAGCTCGGGAATCATCATCAGCACGCAACCATGACCTCATCTGACATCGAACTCACCATGACGTTTGGGTGTTACATGGTCAAACTTGCTGACCATTCAGCCGCTTATAACAGAATCTAATGGCCCACAAATTCTAACTCCTGTCGATTCGCGATTTTAGTGTGACCGCCTAACGATGTATAAGCGAGTATTTGTCTTCACACCCGACCTGACAGACACCACTGGTCACGATGTCTAACTAGAACTTCAAGCAAATTCATACCGTAATCAGTCGCTAGCGAATACCAGATTCATATTCAAAATTTAGTCTACGGGGGTTTGATTTATTTCAAGTTTGGTCATGGATTGATATCACATAGAGAACCAATGAAAACCAAGGAGTGCTAGACAGCTGGTTCGTCCTAGCTCGAGACTTCAACGTAAAGAGCCCACAACCCCATACGCGATCGAATCCGAGACCTCTCAATTATGAGGCCAAGCTTGTTAACAATTCAGACAATTAGGAATCCGATGGCCGATGAACCTTAACTTCTGTCAATAAAATATGTGATATATTTATTCTTCCCTTTATGGATTTTTCATGAATTTAAATGAAGCAAGAACAACCGTGTGTGCAGAATAAGATGGTACCATCATTCCATTGACCTCCCAGCAGCTGCATACAGTCTAAGGAAATTTTTACATTTATATACAGAATAATTTAAACATACTTGCAAATGTTACATAATGTCAGTTGATAAGACTTCAAGCTTAGCAAACGGTGCTCAGATAATGGCACTTATAGTTTATACCCATAAGTTTAAACAAAACCTTGCATACAATGACAAAGAGTTAAGCAATAAAGACAAGAGGTAAATAAGATGATGAGAAACTAGTGATTTGAGCAACAATATGGTAAGCTCAATTTAAATCATGAAAACATGAGACAAGCAAAGTTACACTGTATCGAAGAGGGGAGAGGTTAAACCCAAAGACTACGTAATCAAACGAAAGACAGAGATAAAGAGGTCAGGTTACTAGGTCACGGAATGACTGATAAATGCTTCTTTCTGAACACATAAATCGGGTCTCAGGCGTTTGATGGCAGTTGCTTCGGCAAACTTGAAGGGTATTATTGAACTATTTTGTTTATTGATAATTTCAAAGGATTTAGTGAGATTATGTCTGCTAATGGCACCATTGTAAACCTTTGTTTCCTTGAGAATTAAGCTTTTTCGTACATGTTTAGAAATCGAAGGTGTGCCCTTTTTCTGTTCTCCCAATCCAACTGCTGCCGCAGATACAAAGTTAGAGTTAACAATGGAAAGGTATCTGGCGAATTCCGATTACACCAAAGAGCATGGGGACCGAAAAACAAGAACAGACTTGGCTGCAGGATTGATTCTAGCTAGTGAGGCAATCAATCTTCTGTTTACTATTCCCGCAATATCATTACCTTTAAAGTCAAGTTGGATGAATATGAATTCTCCCCACCCCCATCATAATTTGTTTGGTATTTGAATCTTCCCATCTTCTGTACTTGTTGTTATGAATGAATTCCTGAGAGTAACTGGTGTTGCTCAACGTCTTTTCGAGAATCAGAAATTCTTCTTCTAATTTCCCTGTAGAGCATATTCTACTGACTCTGTTAAACAGAGTTTTGATCAGGGTTCACTTATAGCTTTTCGAACAACTGACATCATACAACCTATGCAAGTATTTCAGAAATGTTCTGTACATAAAATTAATAATTTCTTTCGGCTGTAGGCAGATGATGAGAAGCCAACGAAGCGAATAATAGTGCCATCTTATCTTCTGCACAAACTGTTGTTCTTGTTTTATTTAAATAAAATATCTCAAAAACAGAACACTTTCATTGTATTTTTACTACTTCAGTGAGTGACTCTTAAAGTGAAGACATGCTGAAATACTGCACTTTTGTGCGAGGTTCTACTTTGATAAGTCCGTCATTTCAGTCACACAAACAAGTATCATCTCCCATGAAATGTTACTCAACATCCACTTGCAATTCAATGCAGATGACGAGTCACACATATTGTGTGAGGGATAGTGAGACTGCCAGGCTACTCAAAGCTTGTTAGGTAGTGGGGATTTCCAACCTGTGATCCACTGATTGGCATTCAAGCGCCTAGACCAATGCAGCTACAGCTTCGCTCACCTCACCGTGGTAACTGAAAGTATCCAAATCGTAGGACATCAGCTGTTTTACACTACAAATGACGGCAAGATTACGGGCGTATGAAGCTATACAGTGTACATTACTGATTCCCGACCGATAGCTGCTACCTTGACGTGGTGGTCGGGCTTGCACATTGCAATGAACCACCAAGCTACACTGGCTGGAACTATTGTTCCTGCAGGGCCTACCATGCCAGGAAGGTTGTTAGGATAATAATTAGACTAAAAGCAGTTACCGGCATCGTGTAAGGATCTTTCTTACACTATGCTGGGGGTCTGAGGGCGAAGTCGTACTCCTGGGGAACAGAGGTGTAACAGCAGTGAGGTGTTTCCCTCAGATGACCAGCATGTCAGCCACGTATGCTATCTCTCCACTCTGGAGAGACGGGGTTGCAAATGGACGACCCCAACAATTGTACTTCCCGACCTAACCTACGGTGATCCGTAACCGGCGGTAAGTTTACTAATACGGAACCAATTCCAGAAACAAGTTCATACAGGCCGTGTGTGACCGGCCTCAAGCAGTTGTCCCCTGAGCTATGCAATCACGCAACACTAACCCTCTTTCTCTTTCAGGTACCCGAAGAATCAACCAACTTCCACGATGTGGGCAGCCGGGAAATAACAACCATTCACACACTTCCAAGAGCACACAAAGCCTCCTCGAGCATCATTCTCCTTTACCCAGATCACCGTCATCATCTCACTCCCCCACTTCAGTTACTACTATTCTTCAGACATTACTGATTGATAAGGTCAGATGTATGCCAATCATTAACAGTGCTTCACCTTGACACAATAGTAAGTTACCTCTCACACAACGCAAATAAAGAAATAGAAAGAAAATTTTGAATTCATTTACAAAACAAACTATGCAATCACAAGACAGAAGAAAATTCGAGCAAACAATATTCTTTCGGATAATTTCCTCTCCTGAATTTACAATTATGCATGCATATATATAGGATATTCTAGAATTATCGTCATTAACAACATTGGTGCTTTTAGGTGATATCTATTGGTTAAGATCACAATGAAATTACAGTTCCACAAGGATGTATAAGTTATAATGAGCATAGAAATGGGATAGTGAATAGAATATCAAATAAAATTAAGGAAATCTCTGCAAAAAATTAAGGACTTGAATTCCCTTTTGTCTTCAAAAGGTCTGAATGAATATTTTCGCTACATTCAGTTATAGGGAATAACATGAAGAAATTAACGATAATTGCATGGGTAACTTACTATATTTTACATCGTTATCGTTATGGATTCCTTCTTCATCGTTTTTAATCAATAAACCATAGAAGTCTGAAAAGGAATCACAAGCGTACTTAGTAATACAATATTATACTATATATATATACTCGTTATGATAGCCGTTGTTCATACCAAAAGGCTGCCTTTATTCAACCGATAATATTAGGCAAAGTAGGACTAGTATGAGAAACAGGCTGTAGTGATTGAACAAAGACATGGCAGTCAACCCGAAGGGACCACTGACTGGTGACCTCAGACGTGTGGGTCACGTCCTCGAAATGCTACAGAACCTAAGTGATGTGGCTCACCCCTGTGATGCATATGTTTCTGCAGTCTATCTTTTCAATATCACAGGTCTTTACTTTTTTTTAGAGTACTCCACACCTTTTAGTGATATCATTCTTGCTCGTTTTACTTTAGATTATTTTCTCTTTCATATGACAATTGGGGGTAATTTGATTTAGTGGCAAGTCCTGTGATGATTCTATTATTCTTTTGATTTCTATGATAAAGTAAGTAACATAAGTCTAAAATTAAAACGTTTCGTCAATTTCAAAAGTCACATAATCCGTTGATAATACCTGATAGTTAATGAACACTCATCATCAAGATAACTTCATACAGCACTAGCTCAAGAAACAAGTTAGTGCTATCATTCTATTAACTTCCAATGACAACATCCACCGGCTGTTTTTTAATATTTTCTCTCAGAAATTTAGTGTTAATCCATTTCCATATTTGTGTAGTCTACTCCGTAGGATTTCGATGCCTTGAAGCGCCTTCTCTCTGGAAAGTAATATGTAAGCAGCATACAGCAGTAATGCTTTTCATTCTAAATATGGCAGACACAGTTATAAATGCCAGTTTTAGTTAGCAAGTCTATTTACATCAATCACATCGGCTTTTGTGTTTCAAGATAGAAGCAACACTTTCACCACATTGAACTCAGAATTAAAAGCAGTTTAACCTATTTTCACGTAAGTACCACTTTCTCTACAGTCTGTTAAGTTCTTAAATAGTCGGAGACAAGAAGCAGAAAGCCCTGCCACCAGATTTCGCACTCGTTGACACTCCTCAGTGGTGTGTATCTGCAATCTCGAAGGAACTCACATACCCTCCCAGATTCGAACCAGGGTTAGAGAAGTTACCATTGAGCTATTCGCAGTTGACCCCATGTACGACTGTAAAACATGCTTTGATAGGACACTAGAAACGCCTTGTTGACAAGTATCAACAAGAAAGACTAAAGTTCAAAGTTTTCTGCTGATGGCTTCCAACCATTTAACAATAATCCAGAGACGCTACATTGCAAACGTGATTGATAAAATTCAGTCTGCACCGAGAATGGGGTACTGGACGCATAACATTAGTTACTGCCTAGTATTAACTCAAAGTCCCTTAGGCTAGGCATGAACGGACAGATGAAATACATGAATCATAGATATGATGTACTTACCAAAACACTAACTAGAATTTTTACACACACTGAAATCACCACATAATAAAAAGTGACAAACAATAAATCTTTTCAACTGTACCAAGTACTTTACATAAGTGGAATCCTTACACATGAATTCTGAGAAACAAACTGAAAGCTTGTGTCACCAGGCTATTTGAAATACCAAAACAAAAAACGACTACTATATATATATGTATATATATATACATAGCAGTTTGCAGCTGAAAGGCTTATTCGGTATTTACCAACTGACACCACCTCTGCCGTCGATGAGAAATCTGACTACACATTAAGAAGTGAATGTTCTGAACAATAGCCTACGTTCCTATTCTACAGCGACACAATATGATATTTCAAGTTAGAAAATATAATGTTGTACGTCTCTATTGCACAGCCGTAATGGAACCCCAATATATGAGACTACATAAAATGTCCAGTATATAGATAACTTGAGTCTCCCTTGACTGAAGTGTCTGGGAAATCAGTTACATTTGATGAATTATAGCTTCTCTAGATGAACTGAAACAATTACACTGAAAGTTAAGGATATTTAGAACAAGACGCGAAGTCCCTAAGCGTTAGTCTGAACCATGGTGGCTAAGGTCCATAAAACAACCCTAACACACAATTGAAATTTCATTATGGATGGCTGAAATCAATCGCACGGACACAGATGCATTCATACATACTCTATCATCGTTTCATTTGATGGCGTTCTATAACTATTTGTCGTATTTTAAATTTACCTTCTCCTTCATTACCTATCTGCCAACAACATACACAGGCGAAAAGTGAAACTGGGATCGCTAAGAATTGACGTTCAATATTGTGATTTGTCTGACTTCCTGTCCACTTGCTTCCTGTTACACGAGAATAAATTAGATGGTTGAGTCACATTGTTTATTTATTTACCAAATAAACACTAATATTCTCATTGATTGAAAATACCTAATGTCTTTTAAAACATAGTTTCTCACTTTGGTACAACTCAGAGATGTCTCAACACTGAAATTTACCACATTTTCACAAAGTCAGTACAATAACTAACTGAATTTTCAACGTAGACATTTGTACAAAAGTACAACAGTTCAGGTAGCCTCAGTCTATATAGCACACCAAGGTAGAGCAGAAAAATCCATAGCAACTACAATGAACGCAGATGCAAGGAAGGAAGAATAAGTATATGGCGCATGAGAATATGATGGGTCTGGGAGTTCATGAAGAGCAAATGCATCTGTACTACTGACAACGATTTCTAGCTATCTCTCCAATAGGCTCACGCCATTGGTCCTTAACGTTTCAAAGACCCCAGTCAGAGACTCTGTACCTCCCTAGGTGATTCAAAACAACAATCAGACACTCAATGGAATAATGACACATTTCGATGTACCCAGCTCCAACTCTTTCCCACAGAAAAATGAGGTGTCTGATTTACATAAACTTACTCTTTAATGGGATCAACCCACAGTAGAGAATCCAGTATGTGACACGCTGTAATCATATAAGGATTCTAAATACAATAGAAAAATTCAGAAATGACTATAATATTACCAAAAAGTACGGACTTTCCACACGGACAACCACATCTGGTAATGTCATTCACATTAGTTCATAATACACACACACTAACAGATTATTTTACAAAAACATCTCTGTCAATAAACTTTTATTTTCTCTAGTTTCAGAAACAATTTATTTTTTCAAATCTTACAAATTACAGAGACATTTTCTTAGTTATCTGAAGTTAATATATTACTAATTGGAAACACCACTTTGATGTCTATTTTCGAAAAGAATCCATGGATGTCGGTTTTTCACTGAAATCAAAATGAACGGAATCCTCAGCTGCACTAGCTACTGCAAAAATATTCAGTGGAACATCTCCAACTTACAACTTGTCCACAGCTTCTATATAACTGCTTAATTTCTGTTTAAATAATGCAAGTGCCTCCTTTGTATAATCGGAGAACTCTGTCATTTCACTTGAAATATAACTAGGATTCTTCTACAGACAAAACAAAAACAAAAGGCCAACTGAGGGAAACTTTCAAATTTGTTTTAAAGTCTAGACTACTTTATACAACATTCGACTAGCAGGTATACGTCAATCCTATATTTTTATTACGCTAAAAACGTGAAATTCAAGGCTTTAATGAAGATGACAAATTATCACACGAAATGGGTTGACTAACTTGACAATAAATACCAAACGCGACTGTCCGTCACACGTCAAAACTATACAACGTAGAATTTCACATCTAAATGTGTTCAATAAGATGAGAATTCGGAAGTAATCATTGCTATTATGATTCAGTGAAATCTGCTATATATAACAGCCGAGTATTAAATCTAAGCAGCATCACCAAGCACAGTGTGAAATGACAGTTAAATCTACACTCCAATTTTATCTACCTTGAAATAGCCCTCGACAGCGTTGATCCCTGTGCCCCAACTCTTGATCAACCTCATTCAATAGCTACATGAAAATGAAACATGTCGAGTAATCCGCAACAGAAAACTCAGCAAAGCCTCTGAAATGAAGACCGGAATAAGACAAAACTGTCCATTATCACCGGTGATATTCCTAGTTGTAGTGGAGTGGATTACGCGGAAGACTATGAAGAGAGAAGACAGTGATACGTAGAACAGCTAAGAAGACCCCAGGAGTTATGGACTTCGCAGACAATTTATGTCTAATTTCACAAAAACTCCAAGATCTACAGGAGAATACCAACATGTTGACAGAAAAAGTAGTGGAGACAGGACTTTTTCTTAATTATAGCTTGATTCCACACAGTATTTTGGTACAACTATGAAATATTGTAGTTTAGACCTAAGCATAAATAGATTTATAAAGCTTAGAGTATATAGGATCTATTTTCAGTCCTTATAGCAAACGGATTTACTGTGCATCGATGGAACAGTGCTTAAGAATCTGGCCGACCATGCACATGATCTGAGGTTCGATTCCCTACCGACGCACACCTGATATCTATGGTTGGCCTGCAAAAGTTGGGCTACCGATACATGCTGGAAATCGCATACCTGTACCATAAATACGGTATGGAATCAAGCTGTAATCAAAAAATAATTTTCAGCCTGTGATATCGGTAGCCCAAATTTAGCAGGTCGTCCACTGATATTAGGAATGCGTTGGAACAAGTGAATACAGGGAAGGCAAGGTTGATGACAAAAACAAGCACTAATCATTGACAACTATTAGCTTATGTTGAAACACATGGCTTGTTGGCTGTGGAACAGCATGGATTCCGACCAGGACGATCCTGCTTGACAAACCTACTTTTGGCTAGGGAAGACTGGGTTGAGGCCAGAGATAGGAACTATCTGTTGGACGTGGTTTTTATTGATCTTAGCAAGGCGTTCGACAAAGTATCCCACCTAGGTCTCCTTAGTAAACTTAGAGGTTTCGGACTAGACCAATGCCTATGTGAGTGGTTTAGAGATTACTTAATGGATAGAAGGCAGGTTAGAGTTAACGGTGTACTATCAGGATGGAAAGCAGTATCCAGTGAAGTGCCCCAGGGAACTGTATTAGGTCCATTGCTATTCCTATTATACGTTAACGAATTACCAGGGGTTCTTTCTTCATCTTCATTATTATTTGCAGATGACATTAAGATATGGAAAACTGTAAACAATAACGAGGATAGGTCGGCCCTACAAACTGATTTAGATAAATTAGCTGAGTGGTCAAGCCTATGGAGTTTGGAAATGATTGCTAGGAAAAGCGCGGTAATGCACTTAGGTCAGAAGTCTTATGCGTTGTACTCCCTAGGGGACGCAGAACTACCTGATGTTAACGAACAGAAGGACCTAGGAATCATTGTCAGCAATGATCTGAAGACAACTGCAAATTGCAATGCAGCCGCAGCTAAAGCTTTTCGAATGCTATGGGCAATTCGAAGGACTTTCAAACGATTAGACGAGGGCATGTTCCAAATACTCTACGCAACATATGTCAGGCCTCATCTAGAATACTGCATACAAGCGACGAGTCCATGCTTCAAAAAGGAGGCACATATTCTGGAAAGAGTACAGAGAGTAGGAACAAAATTAGTTAGTGGTATCTCACACCTTCCTTATGATAAGAGGATGGAGCATTTAAATCTCTTCCCGTTATCATACCGAAGGAAGAGAGGCGACTTAATTTTGGCATACCGTATACTTAAGGGTGATTTAGGAACTGACCTTTCTAACCTTTTCTCCCCTTCCAGGATACATTTACGGGGTCACCGCAAAAGGTGCTCAAACCAAGGACGATTAAAATACGTGCAGAATTTAGATTCTCTCACAGAGTGGTCAACGATTGGAACTCCTTACCTGATTCAGTAGTATCAGCTCCATCGGTGAACGCTTTCAAAGAGAAGTTAGATCTTTGCAGAGATATACTTTGCAAGGATTAACACAGGCCACAAGAGCCTTCTATCTTTATCATCTGAATCTGACAATGGGTGGAATCCGAAAGAGGTCACTTTCTTCACTTATCTAGGCAGGATCGCTTCAAATATAGACGACACAAATAATGGCAAAGCCAGTTAGTATCGGAAGAGCATGACAGGCCTGCATCCATCTAAAATCAATGTGGAAATCTGCTGCGATTAACATAAACAACAAAATTCGAGTTTTCAGCACCCATGATAATTCAAGTTTTCTATTTAGGTCAGAAACTGACTGCGTCGCGGAAAGCACTTCCAACGGCACGCTGCAAACTTACCAACAGCTGCCTTCGCTGGCTCCATACTGAAGAACAGATGGCCTGAAAGAATTAGTAACACGAAACTCTGAGGGCGAACCAATTAGGAACCTACTGTTCCACATGAATGCCGAAGGAAATGGAGACGGAATACAAATATGCAGAAAGGACCGTAGAGTGAAATCACACTCCAGGCACGCACACGAGTGAAACCCAAACGAGGAATGAGCTGGGCGTCCGAGTGTGACATGGAGGAGGCCATTTGACGAGGAGTTGAGAGTCCATATGGACCCTCATCTCATATGAGCAATCGTGGAGCCGGTTAAAGAGTGCAGAAGATATGATGTTGAAGTCCTATGTTGCACTAGTGGAACATAGGGGTTGTCAGCTGACAACCCCCAAGCTTACAACAATTCTAAACCTACTCTAACCCACTCTTCAGTAATGCTTTTTTGTGGTGAATCGAGATTTTATAGTGGGCAGATATATCCACCCACTATGTTCTGAAATAACGCTGGTCGTGCTTTAAAAGAGAGTTGGGTGCTGAATCAGGTCTTTTCGTTCTGACGTAATGCTAGTTCGTGCTTAACATGTCCTGTGAGGGCTGTAACAACGCTGATAAGCACATCCAGTAGGTTCTGATCTACTGAAAATGCCTAGAAAAAGAACACGGTGCTGAATTATTGCTAGTCATGCTGAAAACCAGCACTGGGTTCAAGTCTGTGCCATTAAAGAATCCATTTCAGAACAGATTTAGAATTTACTCACTATAGAATGTTAGAATTATTTCAGAATTAGTGAGATTTAATTCAGAATTATGGTAAGCTTGGGGCGTTTATCATTAACAGCCTGACCTTACGAAAACTTTGAGCAACTTACCTCCTTATCAAGAGTTGTAATCTCTTCCTTGAAATTGTATTTACGGTGCAAATAACTCATGTAATCAGGACATTTTGTTACGAAAATACAGCGACAAGAAGTAGAACCTACAATCCGCCATTCCTTTTTACCGCGGTGAAGGACAGAGGATCCAATATCCAATATCCTGATTACGAGCTAGTATAAACCAGTGATTTCTTTGAGCTCGCTTCTTGATTGTGAGGTAGAGGTTCCAGATCTTCGGTGAGCTTCTGCGTAGTAAGTCCCGCCACTCGACTGCTTTAGCTCTGGTAGACTCCAGGAGGAGTGGTGCGGGGATTGGTCAAGATGTGGTTTGTAGTATGCAGTATGTTAGGACTGTGTTGCTGCCGTGAATGGAGTTTGACCTAACTCCCGTTGGTCATTCGGTGTAGTCATAAAAGCAGAATAGTAATAATAATAATAGGTTGTAGTGTAGATAATATAGGTTGAGATAAGTGAAATAATAAAGGTGACCTAAGGAAAAGATAGAGTAGCCGATACAGTGAGAGAAGGCAGAACAGGTCGTGGGGATTTAGTTTGTATGCTTATCCATTGACAGTGTGGTTTCAAGTTTTATGAGGATAAGCCATTGAGACACAAACCTTGCATTTCTGCATGATTGTCTAGCTTCCGCTTAAAAATCTCCACAGATGGCGCTGTAGTCACGGCCGCCGGTAAAGCGTTCCAGAGACGGCAAACTCGAAGCGAAAAGAAATGTGAACGCACTCGAGTCTTTGGTCTCTGGTGTGCTATCCTTAGCGGGTTACCTCGTGGAAGCCTATAATCACTTAATGGCAGGATGCTTTTATTTGGGTGGGCCTGGTCATTTAAGATCTTGTAGACGGTGATGAGGTCTCCCCTGTGCCTACGGTAACTAAGTGTGAAAAGACTTAATTTCTTCAGTCTTTCCTCGTATGATTTGTTGCGGAGGCCGATCATCCATTTTGTCGCTCGTCTCTGGACACTTTCTAGAATGTTAGCATCCCTTTTGAGTAGCGGAGGAGCAGTGATATTATGCACCTCAAGGCGTGGCCTCACATATGTCTTATATAACCTTAAGAACAGTTCCGGAGTAAGAGCTCCCAGCTGCCTATGCATAAAGTGTAAAGTTGCGTAGGCTTTGGCGACGTCCCTCATGTAATTTCCACTGGTGTCTAGCTTTTCTGTTAGAATAAGACCTAGATCGCACTCTGATGGAACACAACTCAAGTTCTGGCCACCAAGGGTGTAATTTACACTCTGTGACCTGCCGGAATGAAGTTGCACTACTTTGCACTTCTTTAGGTTGAAAGGCATTCCGTTAGCCAGAGCCCAGTCTCCCAGAGTTTGCAGGTCAGCCTGCAATCTATCTGAGTCTTTCGATGAGTTTATTGCTCTCCAAATCTTTACGTCGTCAGCGTAAAGAAGCTCAGAGCAGTTCAGTTGAGAGGGCAGGTCGTTGATAAAAATCAAAAACATCAACGGCCCTAGGATAGAACCCTGAGGAACCCCTGATGCCGAGGTGTGCCAGGATGATCGGATGCGGTTGACTTTGGTGCAGAATTCTCTCTCGCCTAAGTAATCTTTCAGCCATGCGAGAAGTGCTCCAGAAACACCCGCCTTGCTTATTTTGTGAAGGAGCAGACCATGGTGAACTGTGTCGAATGCTTTCGCAAAGTCGAGAAAGATCACGTGGGCTGGTACCTTTTCGTCCCAGGATAGTGTCCAATCGTTCCAAGCTAGTAGAAGATTCGTCACGCAGGATCTTCCCCTCCTGAAACCGTGCTGTGCTTCGTGAAGAAGGTTAGTCCCATCGAAGTATTTTCTCATGTGGTCGTCAATGAGACTTTCCAATATCTTCGATATCACTGGAAGTAGAGCAACTGGTCTGTAACTGGTCGCATTCTGCCGGTCACCACCCTTGAAGATAGGGGATAGGATTGCTCGTTTCCATTCACATGGAAGTTTCCCTACATCAAGGGAGTGTTGGAACAGATCACTTAGGGGTTGGCAGAGACTTTCTGAACACTGCTTCAGGAAGGATGGTCTGATGTCATCACAACCTGAAGACTTTCCCGAAGCCAACTTTCCCAATTTTACAAGTACCATAGCCGGGGTAATTTGAAATGTACCCAGCAGGTTTTTGCGCGTTGGTTTTGCATTGTAATCTTGATGTTCTGTGGGGTAATATCCTCGTTACTGTTTAGTTGCCTGTGAAAGGCTAGGCTGAATGTCTCTGCCATTTCAAGACTGGTAAGAGATTACCCATCAGAACCCACTAAATTGCATGCTCCCTGGCTGGTCGGTTTTCTTTCAGAAATAACCTGTATAGGCTTTTGGCGTTCACGAGAAGCATTTTGGCGAGAGTTCCCTGAAATGTCCTTCTATCGCTCCGGACTCGTATGTTAAATTGATTCCTGAGTTCAAGGTACACTTCAGGTTGACACTTCGATCGTCGCAAGGAAATATCTTCAGTCTTTTCAAATGCAGCAATACTATCACAGTCATTGCACAGGACACTTGAGTTCATGGGCGTCATTTCCATTGTGGATGACAACACCGACGACAACCGATTGATACCAGTTGATGAACTTAGCGGTGGATCAAAAGCTGTTGTCGTTCGGCTTTCAGAAGGTTGTCTAACTGTAAGACTACCAACACTGCTGTCTTTTACCATCAACTCCGGTTTAGCACTAGCATCTGATGATGGGTGGGCTACACGCTCATCAATTACACTGACGGTCTGACAAGTATCCCTACCTTCTGCAACTGCATCTGCATTTATTTCTACTTCACGTTGTAGTCGTACAGAACCTTTGTTCAACTTAGCAGTAGTAGCCTTTCCCCTCATTTCATCATGATCAATCAAAGACAACTGTGAAGTATCATGATCATTATCACGAATATTCAATTTACCATCATCTTTCTGGTCGACTTCATCAATTTCAAACTCTTTAATAACAGTAGTGGATGATTTGGGTTCTTCCTCGAAAATCCCCAAAGATTTTATACCTTCACTCTGACTAGTAATACCTTGTAAACTTGTGGAGTCAGAACTGTCCTCTGAGACTGTAACTCTCCTCTGTGACACTCTATTCAAAAATGGCTTACCAGTTGCAACTACAGACTTATTGACCACACAGTTATCGTCACACAATTCGGAGTCAGACCTGGATTTCACATTTAACTTATCATAAAATTTGCTCACTGATTCACAGTTCATCTATTTAGGCACTTCTTGTAAACGTGTAAAACACACCAGGGTTTGTCTTGCATCTTGTAACTTATCTGTTGAGGATGTACCACGAAACCTGTTACACTCACTAAGTCTATATGCATTACTAGACATCATGGAGCCTTCTCGACATCCACCTCTCTGAAACCCAGATTATCCGAAAACTCAGAGTGTGTCTGCGAGCCATCCTGTAATTGACCACCATTACCCTTAACAGCCTCGAATACGTTCCTTACAGTCATTGAAGGTCTTCCGAACCTTTGATGTAGTACGCTCATGGCCTCGTAGTACCCCTCTTTTGGCTTCATAAACTCACAGCACTATATAGCTCTTGAAGCAACTCCAGTGCAATACCTCATCAAATACATCAATTTCAATTCATCACTTATTAAAAAACTACCCAGCATGATCTCAAACTCCTTTACAAATTGTAAATAATCAGCCGGGTTTCCATCGAAACACCGTGGTTCAAATTTAGGGAGTTTGATGTTTCTATTATCCCTGAACGGCGAAACAGTAACATCAACCATGTCATGTTGAACATCAGACACATCGTTACAGTTAACAGACAAGTCACCATGAATTACTTTCCTGTTTGCATCCATGACGCTCTGTCACTTTTGTGACCCAGGCATTGTTGAACTTGACCCAATTCCAAAACAATTCCAGATATTGCTTGTTCAAAGAGGATTTGACCGGCACCAGGAAAGATGACAGGTGACTATCCAAACTGTCACCAACTGTATGAATCCGTCATAAACTGATTCCACCGTCAGAAATTGACTTCACTGTAAGAAGCTGTCAGCCACGTCTCGTAAACCGTCAACGCTCAGCTCTTGCCACGCTGGGACTCACGCTGTTCCTCCAAGCTTCTCAGAAACGCTTAGTAATAACGGACGAAAAAACCAAAACACCGATTGGCCACTCGAGAATTCTTTATTGTAACACCAACATATAAAAATAATGTTTTTACTAAGGTTTGTGAACAAATATTACAATAATAAATCACAAGATTACTTCTGATGGTATACTGCTGAATTCTTTCTGAACAGCGACCGATGAGACGATGACTGATGTATCGATG